GAGAAGGGGACCTCGTCGTTGTTGTTCTAGGTAGAAGGTCCTAAACCCGAGACCTCTCAAATCTCATTCCAAAAACAACAAAAAGTGTATTTGGCGGAGCGGGGAGGATGGGGTGCTGGGATTAGCCAGAAAGAAGAGGAAGACGAAACAGTGCTAGCAAAAACCGGGAGCGAGCGTGGGGGCGTGGCTCCGTCAGGGAACCGCAGACCCATAATCACCAGACTGATCACCCCACAGGGAGGAGAGGGCGGGGCCTGCCGACCAGGAGGCGGGGCTTGTCATGTCTGGGGGCGGAGCCTAGCGAGGGGCGGGGCCTCAGGGCCGGGGAGCGTGGACGGCGGGAGCTCAGCTGGGGCGCTGTACTTGGAAGGGGTTGGGGATTGGGGCTGGCGTTTGGAGGGGATCCGGGGAAGCCGCATCCCCGGGGGACGCGGGGTGTGAGTTTTGGCGAGGTTCCTGAGGAACTGGATTCCGAGCGTGTTCTCTCGGGGCGAGAGATTCCGTGGAGGCGGAGTTGAGGATGTATTGAAGTACCGCGGGCCCCGGAGGCGGGTCTGCATGGCCCCCATCGGGTCCGCTGCAGGACGGCAGGACGCGCCTGGGAGATCAAAGGGTACAGAGCGGAGCTAGGCCGGAGCGTTTTTAGGGATCCCAGTAGTTCTCGTGGTGCTGCGCGGCGATAATGATGACGACGGTGAGGATGGTGCAGAGTACCATGGCTGCGATGCCCACCGCCAGGGAGATGAAGGAGAAATTCCGGGCCTCGCGAGAAGCGATCTCGGCGGACACCATGTCTCCGCGTGCCAAGGCCGTGCGCACCTATCGGGCAGGGGTTGGAGGAGAGGAGGTCAGCGAGCCGCAGCCTCCCTCTAAGATGATCCCCAGAACGCCGCCGGGTACTAAGGGAAACCACGTGAAACTAAACCCTTCATCCCACACCTGCACTGCCTTGAAGATGGCGATGATGCCCGTAGGCCAGAAGCAGCAGATGGTGGTCAGCACTGCGATGGGCATGTAGTCGTGCGGAGGGCGCCTTGGTTCCAGCAGGGCCAGCCCTGGGCCCTGGGGCGGTGGGGGGAGAGTGGAGGTCACCCCGGTTCCCCCGGGAGTCCCACCTGCGTAGGGCTGTAGGAGGAAAGTTGAGGGGGGAGGAAGGGGAGGAGGGATGGAAGTCACTCCAAGGCTATCCCAGCCTACCAGCCATGAGTCTTTGGCAGTTCAGTTTTAAAAGCACAATTCTTTGCCCTTCTAGGACACTTATCAATTCCATTTAGGCCTCCTCACAGTGCACCATTAACCCCCAGTATTCTCGGAGGCTTCCACGTTCTCCCACAAAGCATGGGTCTCTGGCACTGCCAGATTTTGTTTCTTGGACACTTACCCAGCTTCTACCTCCGCAATCCCAGCTTCCGCTCCCTTATGTCCTTTGGTTCCCAGCTACCATTTCTATCCTCTTCTCTGCGTCCTTTAGGACTTCCTCTCCACTTAGGTTCCCCATCTCAGACTCTAACCACTAACCCCCAAGGAACCCCCCCTACCTTATCTGTATCACCCACATTCCCAGGCCTTTCCCTAGTCCGCTCTTCTTTCTATAGCTTGCCACCTGCACATCACTTATGCCCTAGCCCTGTTTTTATTATTTCCCTAGCCTCCAGTGTCCCCAATTTCAAGCAAATCCCGTTCCACCATGCATGCACCCCTCCTCCTAGGCCCCTGTCAGCCCCACACTCACCGTGCCCACCGGGTAGACTGGCACGTAAGCAGTGCAGGGCTGCAGCTGCAGGGGGTAGCCGGGCGCTACGTAACCCCCCAGAGGCAGTGTGCCCACCGCCCCTGCGTGCGTGGGCACCACGAAGCCCGGGGCCTGGGCAGTCGGGGCCGGCGCCGGCGGGGGTGGGGCGGCGGCGGCGGGTGGCGGCGGGGGAAGTGGGCCCTCGAAGCGAGTCTCCTGTAGGTAAGGGTCGGGTGGCATGCGAGGCAAGGTAGCGCAGCCGGGTGGAGGCGCCCCAGAGGCCTGGCCCGGCGGGGCGTGGTGGGGGGGCCTGGGTAATGTGGCGGAGGACGAGGGGCCACGCTGAGCGCTGGCCGAGGAAGAGGCCAAGCCGCCTGCCCCTAAGCGTGGGAGAGTGGCGGTGCCAGACTGGTGGTAGTGGTGGTGATGGTGGTGGTGAGAGGCCGGGGCCGCCTGTGGGGGAGGGACGGGGGGCTCGGCAGGGGGCTGAGGGGCATTGTACGGCGGTGGAGAAGTATGAGGAACGGAGTCCGGGAGGCCTGAGAGCAAGAAGAGCCGAGGGGAGGATAAGGGGGAAAGATGGGACGGAAGAGATGGGAAGGAGAGACAGGGATGGGGAAGTAATCGGAGAGACAGAGAGAGAGAGAGAGAGATGGGTGAGAAATCATCTCTCATTTTGGGGGCAGTAGAGGGGTTGTATCTAGGCCACCACCCCCCACTTCAATCTAGTTTTCAGGTCACAACTCTATTGCTCCTGATTTTTAGCTGTGTGCACGCAGCGCTCACCCACAAACCCAGTCTCCATCCTGCTCACTGCCTTTGGGCTGGCCTGTCTGAACTATCCCCATAGATATACATGTGTAGAGATGCAACGCTGTGTTCATGCGTGCTCAGTTCAACAGTTTGCATATAAACACATGTGGAATGACACTTCTGTCTCTATCCCCCCCTTCGGTGGGGAAGGAGGGCCCTGACCTCTGGAACTCTCCTTGCTTCTTTTCAGACTATAAAAAATGAAAATAATAATAAGAGTCTGGGTGGTACTTCCCTGACACCCCCCATCTCATCATGTCTCCACACAAGTGAGCCAATGATTGTCCATCTGTCACTCCCAGAGATGCTATTCCTGCACTACCTGGCCAGTGCTAAGCTGCTCTGTAGCTCCCTCACCCTCGCCACCTACCCCCATCCTTGCCCATGTTGTTGGCAAGTGGCAGAGGCTGAGAGTGGACTACGGGAAAGAAGACAAGCGATGGGGATAGAAAGATGAGGGGTGAGGGGCTTTAAAAGCTAGACAGAGGAGGAAATGTGAACTGAGCCATCTAAACCACCCATTAGGGAAGGCTAAGGCAGGGAGTGGGGGCAAGTTCGGGGGGGGGGGGATCCCGGGGAAGGTGGGGGAGGTTTTGTTATTATTGCTTTTTACCTGACTTTTCCGATGACATGCTTGCGGTCTTGTTGGGACGGGGTCCCTGCAGCTGGAGTCAGGGGCCCCTAGCTAGTGCAGAAGTCTGGGTCCGGGATGGCGCAGCCAGCAGCAGCGCAGAGATGGAGAGATGAAGACAGTGGCGGGGGGTGGAGGGAGAGCTGGGAGGGAGGGAGCTTAAAGGGACCGAGTCCACTAGGGAGGGGGGAGAGCTTCAGACTTCCCCCCACTCTGTCTTGGTCTCTCTCTCTCTCTCCCTTTCTGCTCTTGGACCACCTCTCTCCTCCTCTCACCCTGGTATCCAAGCCCCCAGTTTAGGCTCCCTTGGAGTTGTCATGGAAACAGAGAGGCTAGACCAAGTGAAGCGGGTGGGACTAAGCAAAGGAAGGAGGGAGAGAACTCTCTAGAGTCTCCCCCTCTAAGACTCTCTGTAGTGATTACATTGTGGGAGGAAGTGAGCTGGTGCTCGGTGGATTCGATTACTTCCCTCCAGTCCGGGTTCACCTGGGCACGTCTTCTATTCTCAGTTCCCCTCAGAGCTCCCACAAGGTTACCAAAGATCTCCCAAAACTATGGTCCTAGTTTTTCCTTCTTAGGGGCAATAACAGTGTGAAAGAGAATTGTGCAGAATTGAACCAAGATTGTCTGGAAGTTCTCAGAGTTCACAGCTTGGCCCTGCTGATTGGGTTGTAAAATAGAAGGCTCGGGTCTACAATTTTTGTTATTTTCTAAAACAGGGTCTCTGCTCCGCTTTTATTTTTTAATTTGTAGCATAGTCTAGCCTTGAACTAGAGAATCTCCAGCCTTTCACTCGAGTGCCAGTATGACAGTCTGACCTCATCACCCTGGCTCAGATTGGGGGGGGGGGGGGAGGAGAGAGTTGGGGGAGGGGCATAGGAAGCCCGGACACCTCGTCTCCAGGGTTTAGGAGTTGAATCTCCAGGGTTTAGCAGTTGAAAAGCTTCCGGAGAAGGAGGGGTAGGCTTGTTCTGTTGCTATTTGATCTGCTCCTAGTTCCTGGGCAGGTCAGAGTATAGATCCATTCCCGAAATCCCCTCCCCACACATCTCCACCCACCACTCCTGCCAAGACGCAACTCCACCTCCGGAGTCAACCTGAGACTAGAGGCACTGTGGTTACTGCAGTCTTTTTATTTGCTTTTTTGCTTCTTGGAACGCGTGGGTGAGGAGGTGGGGTGAGGATAGCAGTCTACCCAGATTATACCAGTTGGGAGATTTTACAAAAAACAGTTATCCCCTCCCCCTTCTTTAAATTTGTACATCCCAGCCTCCGCCCCAGGCAGTCGCTCTTCAAGCTGTCTCTATCCCCTCCCAGTTGGGCCACGTCCCACCCGTAAAGATGCTCAAACCAGTCCCTGGCCTCAGAGCTTTAGATCACGGCCTTATAGTAGTTGTTCAGGTTTTTCAGGCACTTGGGCAATCCTCCTGACCCCTTACTCCTGCCCCATCATCACTCTACAAGCTTCAAGATGATTTCATTGGATGAGATGCGTTTAGTCTGCTCATCAGACAGTGAGGCTCAGGCTTGCTCAGAAATCCTTTTCTCAAGGGAAACGTCTTTAACTGCTAAGTAAAAACCCCTTCGAAAGGCCTCAACCCCCAACCGGGATCTTGGGTAGGGGGGTCACTGGTAGGCTGAGCGGTGGAAACACCACTTGCTGGCAAATCTGCCTGGATTGGAAGGGTCTGGTTCCCCAGCCACCTGCAGATTTCGGTGGGGAAGACCAGAAGGGGGTCATTCAGGTTGAAAGATTGACCTTAATCTCTTGGCAATGAGAAGCCCCAGGGGTCCCGCCCCTTAAGGGTGGGTCTTACATAGGAAGTTGTAAACACTGGGCCGGGCCAGTACTTCACTGGAGAGGACTGTAGGGCTCTCGGCGTCTCCGGAGAAGAGGGCACTACATGCACTTCAGAATCAAGAGTTGTAAGGCGCTGACCTGGGGCGGCTGGGCGGGCGGGCGGAGGCGGAGGGGTGCGCTCCAGCTGCCAGCAGCCCCGCACGCCATCCTGTCACTCGCCTGGCGGGCGTGGGGCACAAGGACTACCTTAACTCAGTCCAACCCTCACGGCTCCACCAGGGCCCAGAACGTCCTGTTCTGCGGGGCCGGGCGCCTGGAGTGGAAGTGGGCTGAATCCAGGTGGGGGTTAGTCGGATCCTAGGATCGCGGGCGTGTGGCGGGGCCTGCGGAGGCTTTCTTTAGATTCTAGGAGACCGCTTCCCCGCACCTCCTAAATGGATCGCTCCGCTTTTCTTCCTCCCCAGTTCCTAGAGCGCAATGGAATATTCCATTAACCCCCAACCCCGTCCGCGGCGCGGCCGGCGTTGCCGGGGACGCTCGCACGGTTGCTAGGGAAAGCCCCGGACGTGACGGCTTTGCGCGACCCCGAGCTGCCCTCCCCCCCTCCCCGCCGTCATTCCCCGGCGCGTCCTCCCCGCACCCTGCCCTCCCCACCCCCGCCGCGTGGGTTCCAGACCCAGGCCGGGCGGGAGAGCCTGCCTCTCCCGGAGGCCCGGGCTGCTGCTCAAGGGGTCTCGCGGAACCCCACATTGCTCGTGGCTGGGGTCGATGCGCCAGGAAGACCCTGGGCCCCCGGGAGCGCGTCTCGCGAGCGTCGAGTTGGAGGCGGGACTTGGGGTGCGCGTTGCGGCGTCTACGTAGTTTGGGGGGTGTGTTCGTGGGGGAAAGGAGTAGAGTTGAGTTCACCGGCTATTTTGTGGGACGATCGTGGTGTGGAAGGGGGGAGGCTTTGTTGTCCGCTGTCAGTTCTGACGGGGAGGGGGTGTCGTCGTCTCTCACGGGCCCTCGTTCCCCTGTCTCAGGTGAGAGGATGCTGGGGCTCCGGGGGCACAGGCCCCCCTGGGCTTGGGTTCTGCTCCTGGTGCCGTGTCTCCTGCCGCTTCTGCTGTCCGCAGCTCCCGCGCCCCACCGCGCTTCCTACAAGCCGGTCATCGTGGTCCACGGGCTCTTTGACAGCTCATCCACTTTCCGCCACCTGCTGGAATTCATCAACGAGGTCGGTCTGGGGGCCTGCGAGGGTTATTGGACCCGGCTAGGGAGGGAGAGTGGGCAGCTCAAAGCTACATCTGGGACTGCCAGTTCCTTAGGGAGCTGCTGCTGGCACGGGGGAGAGATGAGGATTTGGATGCCTGGCTCTAGCAGGCGTAAATAGGCATGTGGACGCTGGCCACAGGGTGGTGGGGTGGTGGCGGGGCTCCATAGTCCATCCCCAGTGGTTGCATTGCCCCCTTCCCACAGACACATCCCGGGACTGTGGTGACAGTGATTGATCTCTTCGATGGCAGACAGAGCTTGCGGCCCCTGTGGGAACAGGTGCAAGGGTTCCGGGAGGCGGTGGACCCCATCATGGCAAAGGCCCCTCAAGGGGTGAACCTCATCTGCTACTCCCAGGGTAGGCAATGCTCCCTCCTAACTTCTAAGCCCCATTTGAGGCTTGATTCTTATCTGAGGGAAACCTCTGATGTCCTTTGTTTCTAAACTATTGTTCCGGCCAGAGCCTTGGTACCTGAGCCCCACTTTTCTGACTCCCTCAGTACCTAAGTCTTTTCATTGTGCCCCAGATGGGAGGGAGACATCCAATATACTGTCTCTTCTTTTCCTATTACCCATGGTTCTTGGATTTAAGGACAAATGGGGCAGTTAAAAGGATTCTAGAGTTAGTCAGGAGACCTAGATCTTTAAATCAGCAACTGATACTCACATGACATGTGGCTTTTTTGGCACACAGGGTGTGTCTGTCTTCTCTGAGCCTGTCTCCTTTTATGTTTAGCGTGGTTGTGGTGGTGATGTGGGGGAGGGGGGAGGGCAATGGGCATTGCCCTGAGGGCAATGGGCATTGACCTGGCTGTTCTTAAATCCCTTCCTGATGCTGTTGTTCTGCCTACAGGAGGCCTTGTGTGCCGCGCACTGCTCTCTGTCATGGATGAGCACAACGTGGACACTTTCATCTCCCTCTCATCTCCACAGATGGGGCAATATGGAGGTGAGTGAGTACTGTGGGCGCCATGGCAGACCCTGAGTTTTGGGTCATATAGTCTTGTGGCCACTTGGCACTGCAATTCTCTTGCCAGATACAGACTATTTGAAGTGGTTGTTCCCCACATCCATGCGGTCCAACCTCTACCGGATCTGCTATAGCCCCTGGGGCCAGGAATTCTCCATCTGCAACTATTGGCATGGTGAGTGGTGGATGCTGAATGGGCCTCCATGGAGAGGGCATCATAAAGGATCCAGCCTGTTGTTCTCATATCAATGAAAACAATAGTGATAACTTACATTTATTGAGCACTTACTACCTGTATGGGCATTGTTCACGTGGCTTTATGTGTATTATCATATTGCCTTAGAGAACATAGTATGATGTAGGGCTCAGCCAAATATTTCTGTAAAAGAGATGGTAAATATTATTGGTTTGTGGTAGGCTTTACAGTCTCTCTTATAACTACTTGATTCTGCTGGTTGTGAAAGCCCAGTTGTCCCTATGAAAAATGTGTTTCTTTGTGTGTGTGTGTGTGTGTGTGTGTGTGTGTTTCTTTTTTTTTTTTTGTCGGTCGTGGGGCTTGAACTCTGGGCCTGGGCGCTGTCCCTCAGCTCTTCAGCTCAAGGCGAGCGCTCTACCACTTGAGCTACAGCGCCACTTCTGGTTTTCTGTGGTTTATTGGAGATAGGAGTCTCACAGTCACTCCCCCCCCCCCCCCCCCCCTCCCCGGGCTGGCTTTGAACCGCGATCTCAGATCTCAGCCTCCTGAGTAGCTAGGATTACAGGAGTGAGCCACCAGCGCCCGGCTGTGTGTGTGTTTCTTATTGAAACTTTATTTTTATTTTATTTATTTGTTTCTTGTTGGTCATGGGGCTTGAACTCTGGGCCTGGGCGCTGTCCCTGAGCTCTTTACCTCAAGGTGAGCACTCTACCACTTGAGTACCACTTCTGGTTTTCTGATATAAGAGTCTCATGGACTTTCCTGCCCGGGCTGGCTTAGAACTGTGATTCTCAGATTTCAGCCTCATGAGTAGCTAGGATTACAGGCACGAGTCACCAGCTTGGGGAGGAACTTTACTTTTCTATTAAAAAAATTTTTTGTCAATGTGGGGCTTGAACTCAGAGACTAGGCACTGTCCCTAAGATCTTTTGCTCAAGGCTAGTGCTCTACCACTTTGAGCCAAATCTATTTACAGTTTTCTGGTGGGTTTTGTTTGTTTTTATAATAATTTTTTATTGAGATTAAATGATTGCATAAATTTCACAGTATTGTAGGATAGTAATACTTAAAGTTACGAACAAATTTTAACCTTCACAAGGCTGGTCTATAAAGTTTGTGAACTCTACAAACTTTGACAGTACAACTATTTCTTCCATGTTGGGCGATAACGCACAGTTGTTTTTTTTTGGGGGGGGGTCTGTACATGGGGCCTGAACTCTGGGCCTGGGCACTGTCCCTCAGCTCTTCAGCTCAAGGCTAGCGCTCTACCACTTGAGCCACAGCACCACTTCCGGCTTTTTTCTTTTTGCTTATGTGGTGCTGAGGAATCGAACCCAGGGCCTCTGGCATGCAAGGCAAGTGCTCTACCACTGAACCACCTTCCCAGCCCCCCCCTACATTTCTTTTCTTTTACTTAGTGTAAGCTCTTTCCCTCACCTTCCCTCCCTCCCATTGCTGCCCTTGAGTTGCTTAGTTCATTTTCATTAATGTCCAGTTTTTTTGTTGTTGGTGGTGGTGGTGGTGGTTGTGGGTCTTGAACTCTGGGACTGGGCATTGATTGACCCTGACCTCTTCTGCTCAAGGTGAGTGCTCTACCACTTGAGAGTCACACTGCCGCTTGTGGTTTTCTTTTGGAAAATTGGAGATAAGAGTCTCGTGGACTTTCCTGCCTGGGCTTGCTTTGAACAGCTATCCTTAGATCTCAGCCTCTTGAGTAGCTAGGATTAAAAGCGTGAGCCACCAATACCTGGCTTGTTTTTTGTATTTTTCATTAATTAATTAATTGATTTTTTTTTTTTTTTTTTTGTCGGTTGTGGGGCTTGAACTCTGGGCCTGGGCCCTCAGCTCAAGGCTAGCACTCTACCACTTGAGCCACAGCACCACTTCCCATTTTCTAGTGGTTAATTGGAGATCAGAGTCTCACGGCCTTGCCTGCCAAGGCTGGCTTTAAACCAGATCTTAGCCTGAGTGGCTAGGATTGTAGGTGTGAGTCACTGGTGCTGGATTTGCTTTTTTTTGTTTTTTGTTTTTTTGAGATAGGCGTTTCACAGTTGTTTCCTGACCTGGCTGGCTTTGAACTGTAATCCTCAGGTCTCAGCCTCCTGAGTAGGTAGGATTACAGGTGTGAGCTCCCAGCGCCCGATTTTAAACTACTTTTCATGACGCTTGGGCTTGAATCCAGTTCTCTACAATAGGTAGGCATACACTCTAGCCTTTGAGCCATGCCTCCAGCCCTGGAACTTTATTTACAAAAACAAGTGACAGATTTGGTCATACTTTGTACACTTGTAGTGTTGTTTTTCTTTTGAGGCCTGAGTGCTGGCCCTGAGCTTTTTCTTGCTCAAGGCTAGTGCTCTACCACTTGTGTCCTCTACTTGGTGGCCTTTTTTTCTTTTTTGTGATTAATTAGAGATAGGAGGCTCATGGACTTTCACTGCCAAGGTTGGCTTAGGACTAAGATCCTTAGATTTCAGTAACTAGAATTACTGGCATGAGCCACCAGTGCTTGGGGTAATATGCTTTAATTTTTTTTAAACCAGTCCTAGGGCTTGAACTCAGGGCCTGGACACGGTCCCTGAGCTGTTGTTGCTCAAGGCTAGCACTCTACCACTTGAGCTGCAGCACCACTTCCAGCTTTTTCTGTTTTCTCAGTAGGAATCAAACCCAGGGCTTCATACATGCTAGGCAAGCAGTCTACCACTACGCCACATGCCCAGCCCTGTAATATGCTTTTAATAGTATCTGGCTCATAGTAGATGCTAGATAAAGGTGCTTTCTATAATGTTCACATTTATTATTGATTGTATTATATTGTTGTCTACCCTAATTATATTGTAGCCTGTTGGTTGCTCTTCCAGTCTCCAGTCTTACCTTCTTATTCTACTTCTTTACCTTTTGAATTGCTGTTTGTGTCCAGACCCCCATCATGATGATTTGTACCTCAATGCCAGCAGCTTCCTGGCCCTGATCAATGGGGAAAGAGACCATCCCAATGCCACTGGTAAGATGACCGTACTTCTACCTTTTCTTTTTTTTTTTTTTGGGTCCAGTCGTAGGGCCTGAACTCTGGGCCTGGGCGCTGTCCCTCAGCTCTTCAGCTCAGAGTTAGCGCTCTACCACTTGAGCCACAGTGCCACTTCGAGCTTTTTTCTTTTTGCTTATGTGGTGCTGAGGAATCGAACCCAGGGCCTCATGCATGCAAGGCAAGTGCTCTACCACTGAGCCACTTTCCCAGCCCTGCTTCTACCTTTTCTGCTTCTGACACCCTCCTTCCCCATGTCTTTGGCTCTACCTGGCCTGACCCCTGTGGCTGACTCAGTCTCTCTTTTTCCTACTTGCAGCATGGCGGAAGAACTTTCTTCGTCTGGGCCGCTTGGTGCTGATAGGAGGCCCTGATGATGGTGTTATTACTCCCTGGCAGTCCAGGTAACAGGGGATTATGTGTGAGAGCCTGAAAATCCAAGCTGTGAGACCCTGAAAGGGTTGGGAGTTTGGAATGCCTTCTTCCAATACACTTTCAGGATGCTGAGTTTTCCTGGAAAGGTTAATCAGTCCTGGCTTAACAGGAACTCAGATTCTTCCCTAAACTGGGACCCTAAGGGTAGATTTAGGTTTATGCAAATTGTAGGCTGTTTACTGTTTAGATCTCCCTCCCTGAATGCGAAGGTCACTTACTACTTGTATACAAAATATTGTCACTCCTTGTTGTTTGTACCTGATTTCCTTGTACAAGACCAATAAAAACCTTGGTTAATGGAACCTTGGGATCTGTTGCCAGCGGAAAGCTACAGATCCCCTGGTACCCCAAACTTCACTTCGACGGTCAGGTCTCCATTGTTGTGTTGTTCCTGGTTGCTTTAAGGAGCAGCAGGTTGCAACAATTATGGAGCCTGAAGGTTGGATAAAGGGACTTCCAGCCTCATACCAATGTTTTTCTCCTGCCTTTAACTAGCTTGCACCTCTCATTGCTCAGTCAGTGCCCCGCCACCTGCCATTCTTCCTAATACTGGAGAGCAAAACCTCTATATGTTTCCAGTGACTATGTCCTGCTGCCTCTACCTTCTCTCCATTCCTATCAACCTTACTTTGTAGATATCATTATTTATTTTTTTTCAGTGTTGAGGATAACACCAAGGGCTACTTCCTCAGCTCTTGGAAAAAAAACTTTTAACTATTGAATCTGAGGCAGAAGGATCACTTGAGCCCACACATTTGAGATCAATATGGGCAACATAGAGAGGGAAATAAAATAAAACCATCTTTAATAAACTAAAATGATTATGGATTCACAGGTTACAAAGATGATTTAGAGGGGCAGAGGTCCTGTATATACTTCACCCAGTTACCCCAGTGATTGCGTTTTACGTAACTAGAACATGGTACCAAACCCAGGAAATTGATGGTGGTACAATATGTCTTTGGGGTTCTGTGTTATTTTATCTCATTTGTTGCCATTTCTTTATTGATGTAGACTATTGTGATAGCCTCCAACCTGTCCTCTCTATTGTATTTATTTATTTAGTGCCAGCACTGAGGCTTGATTTCAGGGCATTGCACTTGTGCTTGGCTTTGTCTACTCAAGGCTAGGGCTCTACCACTTGAGCCACTATTGTAGTTCTGGCTGGCTAATTGGTAACAAAAGTCTCTTGAGAGACACCTGTAATCCTAGCTACTCTGGAGGCTCAGATCTGAGAATTGTGGTTCAAAGCTAGCCTGGGCAGAAAAATCTGTGAGACTTCTCTCTCATTAGTGAGCAAAAAGCCAAAAGTGGAGCTGTGGCTCAAGAGCACCAATCTTAAGTGAAAAAGCTTGGGTCAGTACCAAGGATCTGAGTTCAAGCCCTAGTACCAGCACATTTCTGTGTGTGTGCATTTGTGTGTGCACACACAAATTCTTTTGGATTTGTCTGCCCTAACTGGCTTTGCCCATCCTTAGATCTTAACCTCCCGAGTAGCTAGTATTACAGGCCTAGATCTGTCTTCTCCATGCCTCACATGCTCTGTGGCACTATACACACTTACCTTGATTGTGTGTCATTGTGTGTGATCTGAACTACCTTCTTCTACAAATAATGATTGAACACCATGTGCCCAGGTGCTGTTCTAGGCCCTAGGGATCCAACAGCAAATAAAAGAGAAGTCTCTGGTGATCTGTAACTTAGGTTCTCATTGGGGACAAGATAATAAATTATAAATACATGTCAGGTAGCAATAAAAGAAGGCAGAAAAGGAATCGGAAGACAGGATGCTGATGAGGATGATGATGATTTTTGCTTGTCCTGGGACTTGAACTCAGGTCCTAGGCACTGTCCCTGAGCTTCTTTTGCTCAAGGCTAGTACCACTTCAGGCTTTTTCTGTTTATTTGGTACCGAGGAATAGAACCCAGAGCTTCATGCATGCTAGACAAGCACTCCACCGCTAGACCACATTCCCAGCTGAGGCTTATTTTAGTGATTGAAGATATCCTCCTGGAAGGGCCAAGCAAGCAAGACTGAAGGGAGTGAAAGAAGGAGTTGTGATCGAAGGAGCCCCTTCAAAGACCTGGGGTAGAGGGCAAGGAGTTGAGAAGGCAGCTGGGATGAGAGCAGAAGGAGCCGGGAGAGAGTGGGCGAAGAGTTAGTAGGGACTAATTACATGGAACCTTTTGCAGGCCATACTTAGGCCCTTGATTTTTTTTTCCCATTTTTTTGTTGCGATTAAGTATAGTTGAGCCACGCATTGATGGCTCACGCCTGTAATCCTACCAACTCAGGAGGCTTAGATCTGAGGATCACAATTTGAAGCCAGCCCAGACAATAAAGCCTAAGAGACTGTCTCTCTCTCTCTTTTTTTTTTTTGCTGGTCCTAGGGCTTGAACTCGGCCGGGCACTGTCCCTGAGTGTCTTCTGCTCAAGGCTAGCTAGCACTCTCTACCACTTGAGCGACAGCACCAGTTCTGGCTTTTTCTTTATATGTGGTACTGAGGAATCGAACCCAGGGCTTCATGCATGCTAGGCAAGCACTCAGCACTAAGCCACATTCCCAGCCCCAAGCCTATGAGACTCTTATCTCCAATTAACTGCCAAAAAAGCCGGAAATGGAGCTGTGACTTGAAATGGTAGAACACTAACCTTGAGCACAAAATCTCAGGGACAGCAGCACCCAGACCACACACACACAATTATATATAGAGATATTATATACCTCTATATGTACACATACATATATATGGATGTATATGTGTGTATGTGTATATGTATGTATGTATATATGTGTGTATGTACACACACACACACACACAGGTGGATGTGGTGGCACATGCCTCTAATTCCAGCACCCAAGAGACTGAGGCAGGATAATTTCAAGTTTGAGGCCATGCCAGGTGCTGGTGGCTCATGCCTATAACCATAGCTACTCAGGAGACTAAGATCTGAGAATCATTGTTCAAAGCCACCCAGGCAGGAAAATCCATGAGACTCTTAACTCCAACCAACCACCAGAAAACTGGAAGTGGCACTGTGGCTCAAGTGGTAGAGTGCTAGCCTTGAGCTGAAGATCTCAGGGACAACACTCAGGCCCAGTGTTCAAGCCCCCTGACCAACAACAACAAAAAAGTTTGAGGCCAGCCTAGATTACATGTCTCACTCTATCTCAAAAGGTGGAGGGAAGCAGAGACCAGGCACTGGTGGCTCATGCATGTAATCCTAGCTACTCAAGAGGCTGAGATCTGGGTATTGGAGTTCAGTCACTTGGACAGGAAAGTCCGTAAGACTTATGTACAATTAATCACCAAAAAGCTGGAAGCAGAACTGTGGCTCAAGTGGTAGCTCACCAGCCTTGAATGAAAAAGCACCCAGGTCCTGAGTTCAAGACCTAGTACCAACATAAAAAAGGGAGATATAGGGGCTGGGAAGGTAGCTCAGCGGTAGAGTGCATGCCTTGCAAGCATGAGGCCCTGGGTTCGATTCCTCAGCACCACATAAGCAGAAAAAGCCGGAAGTGGCGCTGTGGCTCCAGTGGTAGAGCACTAGCCTTGAGCTGAAGAGCTGAGGGACAGTGCCCAGACCCAGAGTTCAGGCCCCATGACCGGCAAAAAACAAACAAACAAACAAACAAAAAAGGAGATATATTTATGCATATGTGTACTTATAGCACACACATATACAAACAATGGACTGGGGTATGTAACTCATTCAGTAGAGTGCTTACCCCACATGTATGAGGCCCTGGATTAATCCTCAGCACTGGGGAAGATGTGTATGTGCATATATGTCTATAGCTATATAGACATAGATACAGAGATACATAAATATAGGCAGGTTGAAAACAAAAATCACTTCACCAGTTTTTTTGGTTTTTTTTGCCAGTCTTGGGGTTTGAACTCAGGGGCTGGGCACTGTCTCTGAGCTTCTTTTGCTCAAGGTTAGCCCTCTAGCTCTGGAGCCACAGTGCCATTTCTGGCTTTTTTTATATGATACTGAGGAATCAAACCTAGGGTTTCATGCATGCTAGGAAAGCACTCTATCACTAAGCCACATTCTCAGCCCACACTTCAACAGCTCTGAGTGTACAGCTTTGTACACTGCACTAAGTAGATCCACATTGGACAACCATCTTCAGAACTTTCCCTAAACTGAAATTATAGATCACCTAAACAATAAGGCCTCATCTCCCACCTCTCCTGACAGCCAGTTCCTTTCATCTTTTATTCCAATCAAGATGAGATTGGTGGGGAGGGGGGGTGTGCGCGTGTGCCCATAGGCACATGTACATGTTGGGGACTTGAATCAAGGCTTTGCACTCAATGTGCTTATGGTTGGCACTCTTAGTACTTGAGCCATGCTTCCAGTCTAGTATTTTGCTAGAGACAGAGTCTCAGACTTTTTTGCCCAGGCTGGCTTTGAACCAAGATTCTACAGGTCTGGATCTCCCAAAGAGTTAGAAATATTAGGCATGAGCCACAAATGTCCAACTTATTGGGATGTTTGGTTTTTGCTGTTTCTGGGGCTTGAACTTAGGGTCTGAGCACTGTCCCTTAGCTTTTTCAGTCAAGGCTGAAATTATATCACTTGAGCCACAGCTCTACTTCCAGATTTTTGGTGATTAATTGGAGAAAAGTCAGACAGACTTTACTGCCTGGCTGGCTTTGAACCAGCCTCAGATCTCAGCTTCCTGAGTAGCTAGGATTACAAGCATGAGCTACTAGCACTTGGCTTATTGGAGTGTTTGATGAAAGCCTGACATCCTTTTATTTGAGTGCAACAAGAGGCTTTTATATGCATTATATCATTTTATCTGAACAGGAACACTATGAAAGTTAGTAATAGATCAGGTTATGAGCATTTCCTATGCGTCAAGATACTGTTTTAAGTACTTGACATGCATTGTTAATTTAATCCTTACAACTATTTTTATTTGACATTTAAGACAACATAGAGGCAAAGGTATTGAGAGAAGAATATGTCTACATTCATAGAGTTAGTATGTGGTGAGATCACATTATCCAGCTTTTTTTGCTTGTTTGTTTGAGTCCGCTTTGGTTGACCTCAAACTCACTGTGCAGGCCAGGCTAGCCTAGCACTTAAAGTCACTGTTCTCTTGCCATCACCTTCCAGGTACAAGGATTCTGGTACTGGGGCTTAAACTTAGGCCTCATCTGCTCTTTTTTTTTTTTGAGTGCGTGTGTGGGAATCCCTTGTTTTTGTCTTTGTGGGTTTTTTTGCTCTTGGCTGATGCTTTCCCACTTGCATCAAGTTTCAAGTTCCCACTCTTTCTTTCATGATTAATTGGAGATAAGAGTCTCTCAGAGCCGAATGCTGGTGGCTCACACCTGTAATCCTAGTTACTCTGGAGGTTGAGATCAGAGGATTGAGGTTCAAAGTCAGCCTAGGTAAGAAAGTCCTTGAGACTTTTTTTTTTTTGGGTCCAGTCGTGGGGCCTGAACTCTGGGCCTGGGTGCTGTCCCTCAGCTCTTCAGCTCAAGGCTAGCGCTCTACCCCTTGAGCCACAGCACCACTTCCGGCTTTTTTCCTTTTTGCTTATGTGGTGCTGGGGAATTGAAACCAGGGCCTCAGGCATGCAAGGCAAGCACTCCACCACTGGGCCACCTTCCCAGCCCCAGTCCTTTATCTCCAATAAACTACTCAAAAAAAAAAAAAAAAAAAAAAACAAACCCAGAAGTGGTGTTGTAGCTCAAGTGGAGTGCTGGCCTTGAGCCAAAAAAGTGCTGGGTCAGTGTCCAGGCCCAGAGTTCAAGCCGTCCCCCCTCCCCCCCCCCAAAAAAAAAGCCTGTCAGGTTTGTTTGCCCAGGTTGGCTCTGAGATGCTCAGATCTCAGCTCTCTGAATACCTGGGATTACAAGCAGGAGCCACAGGTGCCCCCTTGAAGGAGGCCTTCTTATGGTACAGTGAGGACAACATGTTCAAATATACACTTGGGGAGAATAGCGCCTGTGTGAATACCACCTTCTTAGACCTTCTAAAATCCATCCCAGGCTTCTGGCCCACGCTCTCCCACATGCCTAGCTGTGTCTCATCTCTTTGCCTTTGTTCTAGACTTCCCTAGTCCAAGATCACAGTAGTGTGGCTGGCCTTAATCTCACAATCTTCCTGCCTCAGCCTCTTGAGTGCTGGAATTACAGATGTTACATCTTGATTTTCCTTGACTCTATTATTATTATTATTGTTGTTGTTGTTGTTTTACTATCTTATTATGTATTTTTATTACCTACCTCTTCTGATAACTGCCTCTCCAATCTCTTGTAGTTTCTTTGGTTTCTATGATGCCAATGAGACAGTCTTGGAGATGGAAGAGCAACCGGTAAGCCTCTTGCAATGCTTTCCCTCTTGGTCCACTGTCTCTCCTCATTTTGGAGCTTTCCCTACTACTGACATCTAAGCTGAAAGGTTTATGTGGGGAGGGGCCCAGAAGGACAGCAGTAACTCACTTTGTGTCTCTTTGTGTTTTTCTTCTATGCTTCTATGCCCCTCCACCCACCTTGAAGGTATATCTGCGAGATTCTTTTGGGTTGAAGACTCTCTTGGCTCGAGGGGCCATAGTGAGATGTCCGATGGCTGGGATCTCCCACACAGTCTGGCATTCCAACCGTACTCTTTATGATACTTGCATTGAACCTTGGCTGTCCTGAGAACGTTCTCAGGTGGTCAGGAAGCCCTCAGCCCAGAGACCAAGTGGTGGCCTTGGAAAGCAGATGTCAGCCTCTGGCATGCCTATGACCACCTCATTGCTCCCACACTGCCCCCTACCAACCAGGGCTCTCAAAATCCCCATCCTCTGCTCCTTCATGAATGACAAGTCCTGGTCCCCCTACCTCATGTCCTTTTGTTTGGGGGACATGGTTTCCTTTTCTCCCAAGGCCAAGGAGGCAAGTGAGAGCCAAGTTTTTAAACAACTTGTGGTTGTTCCTCTTCCTGCTGCTGCCGCTGCTGCTGCCGCTGCTGCTGCTGCTCCTCCACCTTCTCCTCCTCTGGCTGTACAGGAGAACCAGCCCCTGCCCACCACAGGGGTGTCCCTCCAGGCCACTCAGGACATTTTTAGCTTCTGTCTCCCATGTTCCCTTTTCCTCTGACCTTCCCCTCTGTCGTCAGCCCTCCTCATCCTCCAAGGACACCCATGAGAGTGGGGTTCTGTGGCTCCCCTATGGGGATAGTTCCGTTCTTGAAGTGTCAGTGTTGGGGAATATCTGTGGCCTGCAAGGCCCATCTCAGGTTTGGGGATCCCCCAGTCCCTATGATCAGTGTTGGGGTATGCCCTGGGAGCCTAGTTTCTTTGAGGCCCCAGCCCCTCTTTTAACTACCCTTGAATGGGTGTTCCTTGTATTTATGGAAATAAAGTTCAATTTCCTCAGTGTGGCTTGGCTTCTTTCCAGGTAAATGGAACCTGGGGTCCTCAAGGAGGGTGGGGATGGAGAGCCTGGGGCCTGGGTACCCGGATGCCTGATGTGGGGTGGGGACCCCCTTGGTGTTTCCGTTCTCTCAATGCCCATTCTGTATGGGTTCCTGATTCTCAGCGGGTTCTTTCCTGCTGAGGACAATTCTCTTCCTGTCCCAGCCTAGGATTAGGGGGCTGAGCCCAGAGCTCCAGTGATGTGGGCCTCAGCCTCATGAGTGGAATGTGCTTGCCACCCCCAGGCTAGACGAAGGGGCTGAGGGTCAGGGTGGGCATGTGCTATGCCCCTTTACGACCTTTGCAGGCTAGAGCTGAGTGAGGGGGTTGTACAATGAGCCTCCTTTTCCTTGAAAGAAGGAATTTTGGCCAGGACAATAGGACTCTGTCTGCTTTGGCATAGGGGGGGTAGTGGCTGACTCAACTCTGTGCCCCTTAAGCCCTAACAAATATCATCAAGGGGTGGACCAGTCTTTCCCCTGGTGCCTTGAGTTTCCCCCCTGCCCTTTTATGATGACTTAACTCTTCTTTCCTCCACTGATTGTACCTCTTCTCCCATGACCTGATCCTGCTTGGTCTCTCTCCAGTGTGTTGGGTTGAATTGAGAGTTAGGGTGTACGTTGTTGGGTAACTGGTGCTATTAGAACCAGGAGCTTCTATGGATTTAGAGGATCTGTAATTTGGGGGGGGAGCCTCACAGGAAGATTCAGGCAGTGCTTTGCTAGAGTAGGGGTGAGGGCAGTGTGGCTTGACCTCACTGAGCTGACCAGGCTGGTGCTAAGGAGGAGGCTTGTGGGAGGGGGCAGGAATGGGAGGCCTCTGGCCCAGCCCCTCCTCCTCAGCCCCGGTGGCCCACCCACCAGTCTGAACTGCCACTTCTGAGGCTAGACTGCCTGAAGTCTCCCTGGAGAGAGAAGCCAGGTGGGAATGGGGGAAAGAGGAGGCAGATGGGGAGAGAACATCCATGGGGGAGTGGGGTCAGGCAGAATTGGGGGTATTGTCTGAGTGAAGGGGTATCCAGGACACAGGTATATGTGTGTCATCTATGTATGTATGTGTATATGTGAGGTCAGCAGAAATGTGTTTAAACCATGGAAGTCTCAGGTCTTGGGTGTAAGGTGTGGGGGTGTTTGGGGTCTTGAAGATGTGACAGTTCTAAGAGAGCATGTTAAGGAGGTTCATGAGGAAATGAGGTAACTTTGTCTGTGTCCCTCCAGGTAGAGCACAGCACTGGGGGCTACTGGCTAGAGGGGTGGTGGAGAGAGCGTAGATAATGCTGAATGGATCCCAGCTGCTAAAGATAGCATGGGGTCATTTAAATGTACACCCAGGTGTAGATAATCCTGGTGGCTAGTGAGTAAAATGTCCTGACCCCTTTCATGGACACCAGCAGGTGGTTTCAGGAGGGGCTGGAGCCCTGAACAGGAGAGGGGAGAGGCACCCACTACCTGCAGCCCACAGAGTCTGGAGTCAAGGAGAGTCATGGGGTCCAGGGCTGAGCTGTGTACTCTCTTAGGCGGACTTTCATTCTTCCTGCTACTGATGCCAGGCCAAGGGGCCAAGGGTGGCTCCCTCAAAGAGAGGTGACAAGAGGGGGTGGGGCTTGGGTAAGGTGAGGTCTGCCTGGGAGGCTTCTGATGCTGGGTGTGTGGGAGGGGGAGGGGGAGGGCTCTACTGGAAGCCAAACAATGCTGAAAGTTCAAAATGAGGGTGAGGCTGTCACCTCCAGGGAGAGCCAGGCCTCTTGTCTGCTTGCCAGACTCCAGGCTCCCTAGGGCCTGATGATCTCAATGACTCCAACCTCCTTCTCTGGCATGGGTGCAGACAGGGGGTCTGCTCTAAGCAGACACTGGTGGTACCGCTCCACTACAACGAGTCCTACAGCCAACCCGTGTACAAGCCCTACCTGACCCTCTGTGCTGGAAGGCGCATCTGCAGTACCTACAGGTGAGAGATGGGGATGTGGCCACTCTGGAGTCTCTCAAAAGGACCCAAGAACTTCAATCAGAACCCAAACTCAGGGTCCTCAGCCTGGCACTCTGTTCTAGGACCACATACCATGTGGCATGGCGGGAGGTGAGGCGGGAAGTGCAGCAGACCCATGCTGTGTGCTGCCAGGGCTGGAAGAAGCGACACCCAGGGGCGCTCACCTGTGAAGGTGAGGTTGGGTCTTCCTTGTCCTGCAGGAGGCATGCCAGGGTTGGGGGTCCTGGGTAATTGGGCCTTTAGTTCAGGCCTGAAGCCTTTTCTTCCCTAACAGCCATTTGCCTTAAGCCTTGCCTGAATGGAGGTAGCTGTGTTGGGCCTGATCAGTGCGAGTGTGCCCCTGGCTGGGGGGGAAAGCACTGTCATGTGGGTGAGTTGCCCTCCTCCCACCAGTGGGGGGGTTGCTAGGTCTTCCCACCCATCTGGGCATCTGCCCTGACCCCCTCAGTTTCCTCCTCTTTCCCGTAACTAGATGTGGATGAATGTAGGATCAGTGTCACCTTCTGCTCACATCGTTGTCTTAACACGGCGGGCAGCTTTACCTGCAGCTGTCCCCGGGGCCTGGTGCTGGGCCCTGACCAGCGTACCTGTACAGAGGGATCCCCAGAGCCCCCAACTAGTGCCAGCATCCTCAGCGTGGCCAGTGAGTATGGGCTGCACACAGGGAGGGCCTAGGACCAGCAGCAGGAGCCAGGGCAGTGGGCATGTTACCCATTTTTGTCTCTAGTTCGAGACGCTGAACATGAAAGCACCCTGAGGAGGGAGATTCTTGAGCTTCGAGGGCGCCTGGAGCAGCTGGAGCAGGTGAGCAGAGGTGCCTGGGGCTGGGCCCTCAGGGTGGGAAGGTCTGGTGCAGCATCCTCAAATACCTGTCTTCCTTTGCAGTGGGCTGCTCAGGCCGGGGCCTGGGTCCGGGCTGTGCTGCCCATGCCGCCTGAGGAGCTGCATCCAGAACAGGTGGCAGAGCTGTGGGGCTGGGGTGACAGGATCGAATCTCTTAGTGATCAGGTGCTGCTGCTGGAGGAGAGGCTGGGTGCCTGTAAGTCTTGCTTCTCTCCACTTGAACCTCATCTTTTCTGAAGACCCCTTACCTCAGCATTCCCTCATTCTGGAACGCCCTCCTCAGCGCTCACTCTCAACACTGGAATCACCATTTCAATCCTCTTCCCCCTGGGACACTGTCCCTATCCCAACAGTCTCACTTCTTGGGGGGAGTGGCAGCGTTGGTCCCTCCCCCAGCTGGGGATCCCCCACAGCCCACCTTTCTTTCTCTTTCTCAACCACAGGCTCCTGTGAGGACAACAGCCTTGGTCCTGGCCTCAATCACTGATACAGAACCTCCTCAGTGTCCCAGCCTCCTAATTTATACACAGGTGGCACCCACTCATCCTGGGGGATTGGCCACCTGGGAGCTGCAGATAAGGCCATCGGCCATCAAAGAAGTGAGCCAGAGCTTTGGAGAGCTGTGAGAAAGTGGGCTGTCTTGGCCTGTCTTTTCTCATTGGAGCAAGTTGCCTAGGCAAGGAAGGACTGCTTCTCCAACTCCTTAACAAATACAGCAAGAAAGCACCCAGATCGCTCTCTCTCTCTTTATTCTTAGTTGCTTGCTGTTATCCAGATAATAAAAGCCAACCACACAAAACTGGATCCCATCCTCTCCTGCTCCCAGATACCTCCTGGGTTGAGGGGGGTGGGGGGGAGTGAACAGGTCTGGAGTGAGAGGCAGGGAGCAGTCAATACCACTAGGAGGAAATGACAACTGGCTCAGAGAGGGGGCAGTCTCAAAAGAAAGAGAAATAAATTAACATGCCCCTCTCCCCTTCAGCCAGGGTCCAGGGCTTTCCCCAACTCTCCAGGGACCAGTGAGTGCAGCACCTGATGTCTGCCTCTCCCCCATGTCTGGTTAGGATGGTACAGGGGGGCTGAATGGGGTCAAGACCACTGAAGAACTGTATCCCAGGGACAGGGGCAAACAAAAACATGGAAACCAAGCTGGCATCTAAGAGTGTCCTCAACCCTAGGCATTTGGGCAAGGGCAGAGATGAGACCTCTGAGTTAGAAGAGTGTGCCCCCCACTAAAGGGGGGGGTCTCCAAGAGGTGGGTGAAGGTGTCAAGGGAAGTTCCCAGGTTGACCCTGGCAGGAGTGTTCAGGTTTCAGCTTCCAGCCACAGGGCGAGGAGTCTTCCAACAGATGAGTCCACTGAATCCATGGACTTAGGAGTGAATTGTTCCACAGAATGGATGAATCCGCTGGTCAATGTGGGATGGAGAGGGAGAGACGACCACAAAGAAAGAATCCACCAGGCATGGGATGGAATGTCCCCCACCCCTGTGTGGGATGAGCCACTCGAGATGAGGGGAGGCAAATGTGCCACAGACAAGATGGCAGGAGGAGGGGATCAGAGTGGAGACTGCACCCAGGCAGGACTGTCCATGGATGGGGTCAGGAAGGGACAAGGAGTGACACTATCCACATTCACTTCAGAAGCTGGAGATTCCAAAGAGAAGAATAAGTGGGGGGAAGAGGGGGAAGGGGAGGAAGAGGGCTGGGCCTGGGCCCGAAGGAGGGCCACTGGGTTGGTAAGTGTGGGGAGGAAGACGGGGACAGGTGGGAAGAAAGCTCAGAGCCGGGCCTCGCCCAATCCCCCAGGCTTCTTCAGACAGTCACCACCACCCTGGCCATCAGTGGAGATTTCCCGGAAAATGGTGAGCATGGAGTGCCGGACTCTGTCAGCCAGAGCTGGAACGTCATCTGGTGTCAGCCCTTCTGTGGGCACTGGGGGCAGCACCCGTACCTGACATCGTCCTGGGTGATGAGGAGCACCATCATGGCCTGTCCTTCCAGACCTCTGCCAACAGGCAGGGCCTAGCTTTGAAGTGCTCTTACTACTCCGTTCCTCTTTCCGGTCTCTTGAGTCTGGACAACCCACCCCTCTCATTTGCCAGCTGCCACCTAAGACTTTCCTGTACAAAGCCTTCCCCGAACCCTAGTCTAGACATCTCCTGCCACTCCTCTAGCCCTTACCTTCTAGGCTCAGCATTTACTCTGTGTTACTCGTTATGGCTTCGCACATATAGGCCTTATATTTCCCATTAAATCCTAATAGTATAGAGGGGTACCTGGTGTAGGGTCAGACTACATGATCATGTGGCTGTCTCAGGACCTGGCATTGAATGACTCCCCTTCCTCCCAGGGATGACTCCCAGCCTCTCTGATGGTTGTTCTGGTCATACCCTCCTCTAGACCTGCTCAGAGCTCTCACCTGAGGTGAAACGTCGTTCCTTCTTGCAGTAGAAGTCTTGATAGGAGGACATGACTATGGGGACAATGGGAACCTGGGAAAGGGGTAACGCATATCAGTCTCCAAGTCCCTTTTTCTGTGGGTTGTGGGGCTTGAACTCAGGGTCTGGGCGCTGTCCCTGAGCCTGTTTGTATTCTATGCTTGTGCTCTACTAATCAAGCCACAGTGCCATGTCTGGTTTTTGAGTTGTTAATTGGAGATTTTTTTTTTTTTTTTTTTTTGTCATGGGGCTTAAACTCTGGGCCTGGGCGCTGTCCCTGCACTCTTCAGCTCAAGGCGAGCAACTCTACCACTTGAGCCAAAGTGCCACTTCTGGCTTTCCGGTGGTTAATTGGAGATAAGAGTCTCATGCACTTTCCTACCTGGGCTGGCTTTGAACCTCCATCCTCAGATCTCAGCCTCCTGAGTAGCTAGGATTACAAGCATGAGCCTGTATAGGCATGAGCCATCAGTGCCCAGCTCCAAGCTTCTGCCCAGATAAGAAGGAAGGGTGAGGGCTGGACAGCAGAAGGAGGAGCAGTAATCACCTGGGCCTGTACCGCAAGATGGAAGGCGCCACGTTTGAAGGGCAGCATGGAGCCGTTGTGGTTTCTTGTTCCCTCAGGAAACACCCAGACTCTCACCTGAAAGACAAAAACACACAATATGGAGGGCTCAGAATGGTAGCGAGGCCATACTGAGGCCCCTTGGCCCCTGGTATCAGCTGGTTACAACTCTTGTCCCGAGCTCCCAAGCCCATGTCTTCCCAGAATGACTCACGTCCTGGGTGAGCAGGGTCTGGGCGACCTCAGACATGACACTGATGGCATCCCCCGTGCGTTTCCGGTCGATGAAGATGACTCCGGCCAGCCAGCAGGCCAGCCCAGCAGAGCCAGCCCACAGTAGCTCACGTTTGGCAATGGGCACACAGCGGCCTGGCAGTACCTCCATCATCCCTTGGACAAGGGTGGGGATGGGGAAGGAGTCAAGGTGCAAGCAAGGTGTCAGATCAGGCAGTACACCCACCCAGGTTATCACCGTACACTAGTAGGGACTGGAGAAAAAGTGGAGAGATTGGGTTGAAGCAGCCAGAGTGAAAGTGAGGGTGATCTTGCTCATGAGGGCAGATCCAACCCGGGGAAAGAAGGTGTGAGGGGGAAGCGAGGGGGCAAAACGTCCCGAAGGAGGGAGAGTTGAAGCAGGTTCTAGGGAAGGGGCTAGGAGGGAGGGCATGGCTGGGGGAGGTGTGCTCTGTGGCGGGGTCTCACCAAGCAGGTCGAGGGAGCTCTGGTGATTGGAGACCACGACGTAGGGCTGCGAGGGAGGGAAGTGGTGAGCCCCTCGCACCTCCACTCGGATCCCATACAGGTATTTGATGTGGAGCAGCATTAGACGCAAGATCCTGTGGGGTCACGGCAAGGGGGCCCAGTGGGATCCACTGACGTCCTCCTGCACGCCTCACTTCCCCCTGCCCAACTGACTTGCTGGCCACTTCTGCAGTCATTGCCCCCTTCCATGTCCCTGGACTCTCGCCTTCTCTTTTAGACCCACGATGTCACTTGGGCACAAAGCTATCTCTCACTCTTCACCCTTAGGTTCCCTTAGGACCCACCACCCCTCGCCCCTCACTTCATGTTCTCAACGTTGCGTCCTCGCACGGCACACACAGGGATGGCGAGCACAGCCAAGAAGAGGATCCAGCCGTTGTAGAAGGCCATCTTGAAGAAGTACTTGGCACTCGGGCTGTAGAACCACAGGGTGGGCAGCAAGAAAAGCAGCAGGAGAAGCAGCAGTAGCAACACCGTCCATGCCCCAGGCCACAGCTCCATTCTGGCCACCTGTAGGTGATAAGGGTGAACAATCTGGTTTCTGAAGGGGAGAGGAGCCAGGTGAGCAAGGCACAGAAAGCAAGGCTACGAGATGATCTGAGGACAAAGACTAAAAAAAAACAAACAAAAAACAAAACAGGACGGGACTTGGGCTGCTGTTGAAACCTTCCCAGGAGCCGATACCAGCGACTCATGTCTATTCTTCACTACTCAGAAGGCTGAGCTATGAGCATTGTAGTTTCACGCCACAATTGCAGGCAGCAAAATCCGTGAGAGTCCAGTTAAAAGAGCTACTAAAAGCTGGAAGTAGAGCGGTGGCTCAAGTGGTAGAGTGCTAGTCTTGAGCAGAAAAGCTTAGGAACAGTGCTTAGGCCCTGAGTTCAAGCCCCAGGGCAGCAAAATAAAACAAAAAACAAATTTCACTTTTTTACACATGCCCATCAGAAAATTACAAATGACGAGGCTGCCATATGTCTCAAGGGTTGGAGGCATGGTTCAATAGTAGAATGTCACTCTAGCAAGAGTGAGATCCTCAGTTCAAAACTGGCACTTCCATAGAAAATTTTAAATTACACATGTAGTTCACATTGTATTTCTTTTGAAAATGCTGGTCTAAATACTATGTTAAATCCTTACCTATAACCCATACAATAACCTAGAAAATACTATTACTGCTTAGCATTGGATAGGAAATAGGTCCAGAGAGATGAAAGAACTTACTTACCTCTGGTCACATAGGCCCTAAGCAGCAGTTTCTAGATTGAACTTAAGAAGCTTGGCTGGGCGCCGGTGGCTCACGCCTGTAATCCTAATGGTTCAAAGCCAGCCTGGGCAGGAAAGTCTAAGAGACTCTTATCTCCAATTAACCACCAGAAAACCGGAAGTGGCATTGTGGCTCAAGTGGTAGAGCGATAACCTTGAGCTGAAGAGCGAAGTGATAGCACCCAGTCCCAGAGTTCAAGCCCCACAACCGATTAAAAACAAAGCTTGTGCTCCTGAGCACTGTTAGGCTGTCACCTATACGTACACGTACACACACACACACACACAAACACACACAAAACAAAGCAAAGACAGTGACAAAGCCACCCACAGACAAACATTGACAGATGAGTGGTAAGAGTAAAAATCACATCACCAATGCAGAGACTCGCAGTCATATAAAGAATGACAGATTCACACGCTCGTTCATAAGCTTATCATCATACCAGCAACAAAGGAATGTAAATGTATACCTAGAAAAATCCCTGTCTGTGAAAGGCAGCCTCCTCTATCCCAACACTCACATGTGGACAGGCGGTGATGTGAAAAATCAGAGAACAGAAGTAAAGTGGACACCAAGCAGAGGAGGGACAGGCATGTAAGACTTGCCTTCTTGATTGACTGCCTTATTTTGTACAGTGTGGAAATGGACCCAGAGGTCATGTAAAAACACTGTTAGGCAAATACGCATCATTTCTATCTAGGTTAAAGGTACTCCTCTGTGCTGTGCTCAAAGGTAAGAGGCAATGAAAAAAACAGCTGAAAAAGGTGAGTGTTTTTTTTTTTTCGGGGGGGGGGGAAGGGGAGAGACAGGGTCCTGGAGCTTGAACCCAGGGCCTGGGCACTGTCCCTGAGCTTTTATGATCAAAGCACTCTTACCACTTAAGCCACAGGCTCCACTTCCAGCTTTTTGGTGCTTAATTGGACATGAGAGTCTCACAGACTTTCCTGTCCCCGCTAGCTTTGTACCATGATCCTCAGTTCTCCTGAGTTGCTAGAATTACAAGTATGAGCCACCAGTACCTGGCAACACTTAGGCTTTTAAGCTGCTCTTATCCACTGCCCCCAGATAAGTTCAGACCAGCATAATTTCTCCCCTG